GTTTTAAATTATTCAATAAGGGTGAAGATATTTTATAAATGTAAAAGATTCTTAAAATTCATTATAGGTTTAATGGTTTGAGCATTCCTTCAACTGTCGAGGTACATGCACAAATTCTGAAGGTTACTCTCGAAAATGTTAATGGTTGTTATTCTAGGGAAGTGGGAGGTTGGAGAGGTGAGGTGAGGAGTTGTGTTTTTTTTCTTTTAAAACTCTAGCCATGGAATGCATTTAACTAATGAGGAATACTATACAAAGAGCAACACCCTCTGAACAGGGTTAGCTACACTATCTCCTCCATTGATGACCCAGGCATTGTATCTTCCCTTATCCCTTTTCACCTTGCAGACTCTTTTTCCTTCCCTGATTTATGAAAACACACATTATAAGACAAGTACATAGAAGCTAGCATAGATGTTATTGGAATGCAATTTGAATTCTAATTGGAGATATGCATTTGACAAATTACAGGAGTAATAATGTGTTTGAGTTCTTAGTAGTTGCTTTCCATATGTTAGATGGAGATGTATAGGACATGTGAGATTACCAGATTTATGGCAGCAATGACTTAGACCCAAGCTTTGTTTGGCCCTAGAAGAGGTGATGTTATTCATATCAGTTAGAGTCTATCAACATGGTTTAACAACCCCGTGTTAAACCATTTCCATAAAGAGCAGCTGTTTCTTCCAATCTGCTTGTCTCCCCTGTTGTCCCTAACTATCTATTCGTATACACATTTGTCCTGTGCTTTGATATCATTAAAGGTGGACAAAGGTGTTTTACAAATACAAAAGATTATTTTCAAAAGTTATCGGAAGGCTTAATATTTTAAACATGATTTAAACTGTAGATGCTTAGTGTTTTCAGTGGCTTAATGTAATAAAACCCACCTGTTATTTTTGGCTGCTTTATTTAGACCATCTGCTCCACAAAGAATGAAAAGCTCAACAGTGGATGGAGAATTGTCTACTTCTCATGTGTCAATGATTTATTTATTCTCTCTACCCAAGCCTTCAGGTCATTGCAAAACTGTTTATTCGTTTTCCAACAAAAGGGAAAGCCAATATTTGGTGTCTGGCTTTATTAAAAATCATCACAGGGAATTGTATTTTTTTTTTGATAATTCACTTTCCTATTTCCCCCTGTGTTAAAATAGCTTGCCAGCTGCATTTATTTTAAGGATGCTGATTCTCTCTGTTCCTTCTGTGGCAGGTTGAGTATCTGCTGGAGAGGTATTTTCGGTGATGGTTGACAAATCATGCATCATCCATAGTTCAGGTAGCTATGTGAGCATGCCATAGTCCTGCTCCTAAATTAAGATGGAGTCCTCATTAGAGAGTTACAAAGGTAACTTTGATCACTAACCACCTCCATTTGAATGGATTGGTTTTGTAGTCCTTATCCTGATCTTTCTACAACATATGACACAGGAGATCACCTCTTAACTTTAACTAGTTCACTTAATAGCTATGACATTGTTCACTTCAGGGTTCACTCTCATATCTTCGATCATCTCTAATAATTACAATGACAACAATAATAACAGCTAGTATTTACTGAGTGCTTAATAGGTTCTAAATACCATACGAAACATGCCACTTACGTACTGCTTATCTTTTATTTAGTGCCTCTTTTTTCTCATCCTAGGCTTTCTCTAAAACTTATTCATACACCTTTCTTCTTCTCTTTATTTATTCATTTCCTTAATGAGAGCACTGCCCTTACTTATGGTTCAAACTACCACTTTTGTGGAGGGTAGCTGACTACACTTCTAGCCACTGAATTTGAACCATAAGTTCCAGTTCCTTGTTTCCAGCTCCCTGTGGAAATGTTTTAGAATTACCTAAGTGGAACAGGAGCTAATATTATTTTAGTGCCTACTAAGCGCCAGGCATTTTATGTGTTAGTTTGTTTAATCCTCACATAAAAAACTTTATTCTTGTTTTAGATTTGGGAAGACTCAAGTACAAATAATTTAATAATTTTCCTGAGATCACTGCTGGTTAAGAAGCAAGCTGGGGCCGGGCACGGTGGCTCACGTCTGTAATCCTAGCACTCTGGGAGGCCGAGGCAGGTGGAGAGCTCAAGGTCAGGAGTTCCAAACCAGCCTGAGCAAGAGCGAGCTCCCGTCTCTACTAAAAATAGAAAGAAATAGAAAGAAATTAATTGACCAACTAAAAATATATAGAGAAAAATTTAGCCGGGCATGGTGGCGCATGCCTGTAGTACCAGCTACTCGAGAGGCTGAAGCAGAAGGATGGCTTGAGGCCAGGTTGCTGTGAGCTAGGCTGACACCATGGCACTCTAGCCTGGACAACAAAGTGAGACTCTGTTTCAAAAAAAAAGGAAGCAAGCTGAGATTCAAACTCAAGTTTAATTCTAAAACCCATAACTTGTATAGCATTCATATAATTTTCAAATGTAATACTTTCTTCACATCATTGACTACCCTTTGTAAGTATTTGAGGATGTCATCCATGCATTGCAAGATATCCTCTTTAATGTTTCCCTGTTTATCTCCTCTCCACCCCCTGCTTTGACCCTGATCCAAGTCCTCAGTAACCTCACCCTTAGATCGCCCCAGTTACCTCTCTCTCCTTACTCTTCATTTCCAATCCTTCCTGCACAAAACTACCCAGTTTATTTTCCTGAAGCTCTCTTTCCTACCATCAGCTGTTGGACAGATCACCTGTAATCTGTCTATCCACCAAGACCAAATTATTGATTCAGAGTTTTTCTTCAACTTGCTCCAGGTTACCTATCCTAAATTCTCGTTAATTTAGTAATTCATTTCACTCACAACAATTAATTCGCTGGGTTCTTTATTTGCTCTGCTCCTTACTACTCCTTTCCTCCTTCCAAGTGTCCTTTTCCTTCTCCTCTTGGCCAATCCAATCTTGCCCTAGTTCAAAAGTCCCAATCAAGTTCCTTTCCTCCAAAAAAGCCATCTTTTCAGTCAACAGCCACTAGCATTTCTACTTCTCTGAGCTACTGCAGCATTTGAAGTGTGTACCAAGACTTTATCTATTGCCTTATATTTGAGTTTCATCATTTGAATCTCCTGGTATCATATTATACAGCAAACTTTTGAGGACACGAGTTCTCTGTGCTACTTTATAGAGCTTGGCATATAGACTTGGCACATAGTATATCCTTAATACACTCTGACATAAGCTGAGTACTTAGAAGTGACCATTATCCTGCCACACACAGCCTATAGCCTCCCTGAAAACCTTTACTACAGCCTGTTTGTCCCCCAGATGGATGGGGCTCCCCAAGTTTGATATTATATATTCCTAAGAAGAAACAACAAACACTATCTAGCTCTTACACATGTTTCATATCCCATACAGTCTTTCATACAAAAATAGAATTGGACTTACAATGCTACTATCCTTCCAAACCTGTCCAAGGTACTTTGAAAATGTAATGCCTATTGTTTAGAGAGAGGGGAGGAGAGGTGAATCATAGCATATCACTAAGTTTCTTACATATAGTCACGATTCTCTCTTCCTCCCAGAGGGCATGCTTATAAAGTACTATATAAAGAATTTTAAAAGTCCTCTCTATCCCCAAAGTGTGATCTCTTATGAAATAGTCTGGAAAGATCCTGAAGAACAGAAAGGGTATGATTTACTTCAAGTCCTTCCTGGGCTGAAACTAACACCTGAACTGTCACTAAGGTACTGACCTCTGCAGAGATATTTATTCTACCATGATGAAGATGGATAATGTGACAATAAATAAGGTAAATGGCTGGGAACTCAGAGCTCACATACCCTGATGGCTTTTGAATAACAAGCCAGGAACTCAACTTCACTGTAATATGAGAACAAAGGACAGTGCCACTGACAAGATTTAGCTTCTCAGCAAGAGCATGCATTGTATGTAGGAAAAACAGGTTTACCTTTCCAATATTTTAAAACACATTGGCATCATTAGTGGACGGCCATTTAAAGGTTATAGAATTCTAATTAAAAAATCAATGACCAGTATAGGATAATACTAAGGTCACATAAAAAAGGGCATAAAATGGTGAGATCATTCCCAGAGATTTGCTATGTCATTTCCAGTGGGGCATCTAATACAACCGTGATTAAGTAGAATTTAAAACAATCAGCGATACCTCTGCTTTGTTTGCACACTAAAATTGAATATACATTTTGATAAGCCAAAAACATAATCTAAATTGCATTATGATGTAGAAACACAGTGATACAAAATACACCCCAAAACAAATGGCAAATATTACTGCTTTAGGTATTTTATCTTATTTAATCCACTGACCAATTCTATGATGTAAGTATTTTTATTCTCATTTTACAAGTAAGCCTATTAAGTTTTGGAAAAATTAAATAACGTGCTCAAGGTCAAAGTTACTAAGAGGCAGAGGCAGGACTCAAATAAGTCTCAGAGCTAATTTACTTCCTTCACTCACCTATTCAAGGTTTTGAGAAATCCTGAAGTAAATAAATCCATTACACATTATTTAGACCAAGGTTTGCCATCCTCATGTAACTTAAAAGTTAACCATTATATTTCAAGCTTTTAAAATTAAAAATGAGTGCTTCTCCTTCTACCTGTGGCCCTATCCCATTTCTGATTCATGATTAGGAGTAAGAAGTGGAATTTAAGGGTCGGGAATTAGGTAAGGTTTTGTTATGACTATTATTGATACTTTAAAATAGTTACTTTATATTTTGACACAGCTACTTGACAAATGCTCTTCAAATCAAACTTTCCTTGATTAAAAAAAGGCAAGTCAAATGAATCAAGATAACTTGACCTCTCTGGAAGCAATGACTATGTCTTATGTATTTTATGTTCCAGGGATCTAGCACAGTTCTTCTCACTACATAGGATCAAAAAGTTAAATCACTGCCACACCCAGTAAAATCAAACCCTCACCTTGAAACCTAGCTGTGGATACTCTCCCTTTGAAGGAGGAAATAGACCCTTTTATCCTCAACTCTAATCCTCTGACTATACTTTTCCTTTAGGAACCTCTGCCTTTTTCCACTATCAACACTTCCCTGGCCTCTGGAGACATGACTTCTTAATCCTCCTCCAATACATCTTTTTGTAGCAAAACTGAAAAGAAGCTAGGTATGTAAAGGGCACTTTTACTTCAAGACTATTGATAAGGAAATGGTAAGAGACTGAGAGATAAATATACAACTAGGTACGAAGTATGACTTACTCATTTTTGTTTTGGGAACACTTTCAGATATGTTCTGTTTAGCTCTTATCCTGCTTCTAAAATATAAAAGCCATCATTTTTCACCACAAAAAGCTACAAACCTCAGAGCCTGGATTCCCTAAGACCCAAGAAAAGGAAATTAAAATTCTCTTTCTCAACTAGGGCCTTCTTGACCATGTTTTTTGTTTGTTTGTTTGTTTGTTTTTTTAACAAATATGTTTGGAAAAAATGTTTGGAAATATTACTACACGTCCCAAAGCCCCTAGAAGAGTGCACTACACGTAACAAGTACTCAACACAGGGGGCTGGCTAACTCACAAATATCCTTGGGTTCAACTGCAAAAACCTGTAGGCAACAACTTAGCTGAAGACAAATGAATTCAACCTGGAGTTGGGTTTGTAGGAATGCTGGCTTCTGGCCTGCCTGCAGCAAATGTGTCTACCAAGTGTTTCCTCCTCTCTATACCTATTCTCTACCCAGTCTTCTAAGAATCTCACTAGCCTCAGGTTGGCAGATTCTGAATTTGAGGATGTTTTGATAACATTTAACACTCTGGCAGAGGGGGTATTTGTAAAGGTGATTTAGCAGAGAATACCAATAAATAATTTATGGGAAGATTTTTCTGTCTCCTATAACTCGTAATTTTGAGATAATACTTCATTTCAGTCATAGTTCCCATACCTCTAATGCACAAGAACATCATGTTTTTACAAAAGGTCACATAATAAATAACAGCAGAGTATTTTAATGAGTGCTTTTAGACTATTAATTTTTCCTGATATTAAAAAATGTGTTTGGAAATAATTATTGCTCTTTGAGCTATGGTTTTTCAGTTCTTCATAAGAATTAACATTTAAAAATGTATACGTACAATTGAGGATTATTTCCTATAATGAGAATGGATGCATATATATGTATATAAAATTAATATGAAGGGCCAGTATAGTAGGTGGTAATAAAGCTATTTTCCAAAATTTATTTCATACTATAACTTTCTTTTCAGAATATTTATATGTTTGCTATGTTTAATTAAAAATAGCTCTTTGAGATTCAAAAATATTTTTTTGCAAGATTCTGGAAAGGATTTGATGAGTCAAAGGGATATAGTTTCTTAGGTGGAAAAGTGAAGTTCACTGGAGAAAGGGTAGAAAATTATTGAGTATCTCTTCCAAGGTCAGTGTCAACTTCAATGACTAGCTACATATTTTACAGTAAATACTGGCTGCTCAAGTTAACGTTGCCCATGATGGTTAGATGGAGGCACTCGATTATCCCCTCTCTTGGTCCATTTAGTAGAGATAACAAGAGAAAAATCAACTTTCCTCTCTATGGATTCCTAGTCTCCCATATTCCATGGTGGTCTAAGGTGACAAAGAGGTCCTTGCGTCACCCCGGGGGTACTAAGAGGCTGCTAGTGAGTCTGTGTGCAAGCTCATCTTACTGGGGAATATCTTCCTGTCTCTGGCTCACTAAAATTAACACTCCTCCCTAACTGCTGGCACTTTTTTGTGTTACCTTAAGGAAGAGCATTTCCTCAGCTTGAAAATGTCACAACAGCCACCAGAGTGGTGGTTGATAGAACTATAGTTCCAATAATTATGAGTATGAGTTAAAGTCAAGTGCCTAATTATAATATGGGAGTTTTGACTTTCCTGTGAATATGGTGGTCCAAGAAAGCAACATTCTGTGTCCATTTTTAAGCTGTATTTCCATCGTACTTTCTTGGTTTTCCATCACCTATATTACTTTGCCTATGTGGATCGCAGAAGAATCAACATCTTATGAAAAGATTAAAAAAGGAAAAAGTACATATACTCTGTATATGTGGATCACAGAAATATAGACACTTTGTGCAAAAAAAAAAAAAAATACCCAAGAAAACACATTCAGTGAGGAGTTTTTCATCATATATAGAGAGAAAAATAGAGTGATCAATAAGGTTATGTAGTTATTGACCTGTGAACACTTGGCTAAAGAAAATGCTCCTCTGATAAATCTAGAAAAGGAGCCAAGCACCACAAATGAGAGGTCTGACAAAATAGCCCATCGAGTTCCATGCACATGTCTGAGGCAGTCAGGAGCGAGCGGGTAGCATGGGCCGTGAGCGAGCCACCAGCCTGACCTCCCCTGACTTCTGCCTGCCTGCTCACGCTTTCTGACTTGATCATTTTTTCGACAAGAGAAAAATCCGTTTTCAGCTGCAGGAACATGCCTTATTTTACAAATGGATGAGATGTTTTGCTAGCATCTGCCGCAGCAGTGAAACCTCAGCCGTGGAGAGAGTCCAAAGCAGTGGCCACTGCCTGAGTTCACTGATAGCTGGTAGCTCTCCTGCCAACCATTCCAGCTCTTTCTCTCTCAGAGAAGGTTAAAAAGCTTTCACCCCCTGGTAACCAGGGCATTTCTGCTTGTTCTCTTTCCCACTGAAACCTATTCTGACTGTCCAGCTCAGGACTGCCTTGGACTTAGTAGAGGGCATCAGAAGTGTATAAAATGTTGTCTCTATAGGTTCTATAATGGACTTAATATAAGAGACAGGATATTTTCACCCAGAAAGAACAATTCAGTCTAGTAAATTGCCATATGTTTATCTTAGCTATTGTCTCTCGGCATTATTAATGATTGAATGCTATGTATTTGCAGCTGTGTGGAAGGAGGGGCTGGTCTTACAGACTCCTGATGAACCTGTGATATTCTTGCTCTGCTGCAACACAACAGGTGTGACTTAGAAAAGCACAAAATGACTAAATTCTGAGGTGGTACTCAAAGGAAGCAAAATACGTGCCAAAAATCAGTCCTTGAAAATTTCCTAGAGGCAGTGAGTTCTGAGTAGGGTTTTAGGAAAAGATAATTTATGCTTTTGCTTAAAGGTACAAGACGCAAGAGACCAATCCAAACACCATTAGGTAGAAATTGCATAGGAATAGATAAACACGCCTTTTCAATCTTAGTCTTAAAATTGATTTTCAAATGTTGTTAAATCATTAGTTATATTAGCATAGAACTGAATGAGCTATTAGTAGGAATGTGTAAATTGCAAATTAAAACACAAGAAAGATCTGAAATTGGCAATGTCTACTTTTTGATTAAATACCTGTCTTGACGTTTTTAGAGGAAGAAGAATAATGCAATATTTGATTTATGCAAATGATTTCTTTGAAATGTAACTAGCATTAGATATCGAATAGACATTTTTAATGAGAGACAAAATAACATAATGTGGTAATTTAGAACAAGTAAAAGTAGATTTCTATCAAACTGTCTTGTCATTCAATCTAACAAATCCAAAGTCTTTAATATAGGAGAAAAATGGGCAGGTCTTGGGACAGTATACAATCTAATTCCAGGTCATAATATGCTGTGTGAATTATAAATAGCTTGGCCCAGTCTACTAGAAACACCCTAAATACACAAAAGAGGCAGCACTGAATAATGGATAAGTAATAAAGTTTATTTTTAAATCAAATATATGCCTATAACAGGGCTGGACCTGCCTGAGAGTACATGGTCTTCATCTCATCTGTAAATTTACCTATTAATTGTAATCTAGGATTTGCTCTAAATTGTTCAGTGACTATTCACTGTATTCAGAATAAGATCCAAAGGCCTTATCCTCCCCTGCAAAAGTCTTTCCAAATGTATGCCTTATCCAATGTTAGCTTCATCTCCCATTACAACTAGCAGGACCCAGTGCTTAATTAGACAAGCCAGCTTTGCATCCTCTAACCTGGAACATCCAGACGTTGGCTCAGTTTGTTTGATCTTCTTGGCCATCCTTGCTCTTCAATGTCTTCCTCTCAAATGTTTCCTCATCATTCATGCCCAAATTTAAATTCCATCTGCTCTAAATAGCCTTTGCAGAACTTCTTAGTCAGATGGAGCTACTCCTTTTCTTCTATTTCTCTAGCAGATTGTTAGTTACTCTGTTCAACAACTAACACACCTAGTCAAGCTCCACGTGATATGGATTTTACCTCTTAAGGCAAAGAACAGTAGTTGGCATATAGTAGGCATTCACTTAACATTTGTTCACTGATTAGCTCAATACTTTTCAAGTTATGCTTTCTTCCCCAAAACTGCTACCACCAATAGTCAGGTCCTCATCTTCTTTGACCTTATCACAAAAGTAAGTCACCTAATAGATCACTTTGCCTTTAGTTTTGTCCTCTCCCACACTGCTTTCAGAATGATCTCTCTGAAACAGAAACTTGAACACGTCATGCTACATTTTAAAACTGCCATCATCTCTCTCTCACTCAGAGGTTGAATCTCACAGGCTTTCTGTGACATGTGAAGCCCTGTGATTTGTCCCTCCTTCTCTAGCCAATGGTCTACAACTTCCTGTCCCATGCTTTATGCCTCAGCAGCATTGAACAGGTGCATCTTATACCAGTGATGAATTACTAACAGCTTATGTAATTCAAAACTATTGGTCAAAAATTAAAATTTTCCCATGCGAAAAAATCTAAAGTTGGAGCGGCACTTTGGAACAGGTGGATTTTCACCATTATAAGTTATTTTTCCTTTTATGTTCTTCTGCCCAGCATTCTCTCTATTCTTTCACACTGTACATGCTCTTAACTTTATAGGAGAGCACTTCCTCATGGCATTTTATTGCACTTACATCCTGTTTCAAAGTTACAGATTTTCAGGCATTACATCAGGCCTAAATTTTAGCCTTAGCCCTGGCATCACTATTTAGTAAGAATTTTGAGTATATTGTTACAGGGTATAGGGAAATAATTTAAACTACAGAGTAGTGAATGTTATTGTTATAGGATGAAAGTCACCAAAAGCATTCACACAAGTTTGAGTGCAGATTAACTTATAATGACCACACATAGTGTTTCTGTTTACTATCTACTAGCTACAGTGGCCACATGCCAATAACAGAAATTGTAAGCTCCTCAGTGTTGACATTAATCATCCTTTAAATTGAGGGGGTTTCTCACTTTTCGAATTTTGTACATAAAGGCATATTTTATTAATACCTTTTGTATTTTGCTATTTTAAATATATGTGTCTGGATTTATACAAAGTGAAACTTCATTGTATCTATAGTTCCCCAAACACACTTAATGGGGTTCTTACTGTGATGCTTCTTTCTACTGCCTGGAATGTCATCTCAAGCTCCTGTCCTACTATGCCACATCCCATCCACATTTCTTTATCTGATGCATTCTGTCATTTCAATCAGTTATCACCTCCATGCTCTGTATCCATCAGTTGTTCTTGGACAGTATTTCCCCTGTGCATAATAACTCTGCCATTGGCCTCATGCCCATCCTGGTCTGAGGACATTTTTATTCACTCATTCTTGTGATCTCAGTAGCCAGTACAGTGTTCAAGTCACATTTGAACATAGGAGTAGTAGAAGTCTCGAATCACAGTTACTTTGTGCTTGAATGTCTAGTTCCTCTGGAATTGAAGTTTCTGGAGAAGAGGAAGTGTGTACCACCCTAAGTATATAACACAAATCTTCATACGTAATCTATACCCAATCTATAGATGTTTTTGGAATTGAGTTAAATGCCATCTCTCATAAGAATTGCTGAAATATCTTTATAAGTACATTATAACAATGAGATATCTAATTTCTAATGTCTTCTCTCTGCCTTTTTATTAACATATTTGTCATTCCTTTTTCTCTATACATTGACAATTGCATCATATTTTTCCTGTCTGCCATTCAAAGCTGCACCCAAAAGTTTGCACAAGACATTTTCGAAAGTTGTAGAAATTCAGTGATAAGGGCACATCCTGAGGAACTCCTGTTCTTCACAAGCTTGATCGTGCCACCTTCCTTCTTGAACTGTGAGCACCTTCCTCTAAATCATTGATTTCATTTTCCTTTCCTGGAATTGGGTGTCAGTCTATGAACTTGCTCTTTGCTCTTTATCTTTTCTATCTCTTTAAAGAAGTTCATATAAATCCTTTCAATTATATGCTATAATTTCTCATTCAGTTCCATCCTACACAGGTTCTTTATATTCTTTACGGCTTTCCCCTCTGAACCTCTCTTTATGTTTTATAAAAATCTAAGGCACCATCTCTTGAACTTAAGGGTACTTAAGAATCATCAGAGAGAATTTAATAAAATGTACAGCGAACAAATATTATGACCTGATGAATTTGGGGTGGTGTCCGGAAATTTTTATCTCAACAAATAAATGTTACAGAAGTTTCTGCTGCTGGTCTCTGTGGTCTCTAAACCTCACTCTGAGACATTCTTCGCAGGCTCGACCTCTGCTTTTTCTCTTTGTTTCTGATCTATTGTTCTTCTTCCTCTGCTTGTTGATGTTTGTTATTTATCTTTCGACTTTTTGGCATTTACTCTCAGTTCTGCCTAGAGTCAGGAATGTCTATTTCAAAATGTTTAATGTTGTTCCTTTGCTTAAGAATTATCTCTAGAATTTTGTTCAATGGCCAACCACTAATATTTTGAAAGCGACTTGACTAATATTTTTATTATATTTTGCATGTCATCTCATTCTGTAAACATGCTGGTCACATCACAGCCTAATTTTTCAGCTTTTAAAAAATGAATTTGAGATAACCTTATGATCAGAAAAGATGGTATCTTTCAATTTACATGTCACATATTTCAAGTTCCCCTGTGTATAAATTGCCTTATTTCTCCATAGCCATTTCTCTTCATTAAATTATACTCAGAACCATTAGTATGTACATACAAATAGGTGTCCTTCAATCTTGATAATTTTATGGGCTACTTGTAAATATTTGTCCTCATGAAGCACAGTATCTCGACTCATGCCTCTGCAATTGAAAATCTCATTGATTCAACATATTTATTTTATGTTGAGAAAAGTAGTTAAAATTTCCTTTATTTGGAAATTTATTGGATGGGGGAGCAGAGATTAGGCAGAAAGTGCAATTGTGTTCTGATTCGGTATCCTTGATTATATATTAAATATTTTATGTGCTTCTTAATAGTCGCAAATGCACTTGACCTATTCCACCTTGCTTGAATACCTGAAAAATCTTGCTGCCAGAATTTTTTTAAATGTAAAACTCTTAGGTTAAATATTATGCAATAGATTTTAAAAGAGAGTATTTTTCTACAAAGCTTTTGATTAAAATTGAAGATTATCAAGAGATCCTAATCCAAGTTCAAGGAAGCATCATTGTAATCATAATGACAAAAGTGGGAATCAAGGGAGTAGCAGTTTACATAGATTTGTGAATGGTTTATTCATATTCTAACTCTGTCACTTAAAGATTCCTAGACATGTTTAGCCCTCAGTTTCTTCTTCTGTAAAAGTGGAGAATTGGAATGAATGATTGACCAGTGGTTCTTGAATGTGGCTATCTCCAAATCTCCTGAGTGATTGTCAAGTCTCATTCCAATACCCATGTTATGGATTGAAGTGTATCTCCCCAAAAGTATGTTGAAGTCCTAACCTCCAATCCCTGACAATGTGACCTGATTTGTAATTAGTTATGATGAGGTTATACTAGAGTGAGCCCTTAATCCAATATAACTGATATCATTTTAAGAGAAGAAGATACACAGAGAATACACACACAGAGGAAAAAAGGCCATAGGAAGATAGAGGCAGAGATTGGTGTGATACACTTGCAAGCCAAGGAATGTCAAAGATTGCTGGACATCACCAGAAACTAGGAACAGGCAAGGGAGATTCCCCACCTAGTTTGTTGCATTTTGTTATGGAAGCCCCAGGAAATAAATATACCTACTAACTCAGATTCTTTAGGAATGCAACAAGAAAATCTGTATTTTAAAAGCTCCACCCTCCCTAGTGATTCTGCTATGATCAAGGTTTGAGACCAATGGATAGATGATGTCTGAGATTCTGTCCAGATCCCAGATTTCTTGATTCAAGGATACATATGTTTGCAAGCAGTAGGAAAAAAAAAAAATATATATATATATATATATATATTTCAATAATGAAGTAAAGTTGAAAACTACTAGCACTTCATGACAATGTCAAAAATTTCCCTCCTGCTTATGATAATGAAGGCCTAAACAATGCTATTCTGTAGCTGCTACCCTGGAAGTACAAGGCACTGGAAGGTCAAGTCAATTCCATCTTGACAAACACATCTATTTAAACTTATTTGCTCTTGGAGCTATGATGCTTATTCAGTTTTTAGTCAGTAAGTGTTGGGGTACTGTTTGTGATAGATTTGCCACATAATAGGTAATATATCTTCTGTGTATGAACATCCAGTTTTTTTGCAATTGTCTGTGATGATTGATATTAAACTATCCTTTCTTGGTCCGTGGCACCAAGTGCAAACTTATCTTTCATATTGCCAACTGTAGACGCTCCTCTCTTCTGCCTGGGTCTGCCCTTGAGACACAGTAATGGGTGGTGCAAGGCCCTGCGGCAGCATCAGGCATTCGCTCCATGCCCAGAGCTGACAGAGTGTCCTGAGTGATGGCACAGCACCCCCAAACACACCGGCGGGGCCTCCGTCTATAGCCGCACCAGACGACAGTGACTCTAACCTCCACCATACATCTTATTCATCATCATTCATGTAAGATGTTCTCCTGCATTTTTATCTTTATTTTGTGTCTTCACTATGGATTACGGATAGCAATCCTGTAGGAAATGCAATTCTATGAGAGAAAAAAAAATGCAGAGGAGGAAAATGAAAGCTCTTTAGCTTTTAGCATTTTAGCTTTTCTCTCTTAGAGTATATTATTGAACACAACAGGATTAGCAATTAGTCAAAAGTGATCAGGCACCTGCAAAGCAGAAGGGGAAGCTGTCTTTCACAGGCCTGTCTACTGAAGTGGTTTGCAACTTACGCTTAGTAGGTGCCACCTGACTTCTATCTTTATGACATATGAGCACGCACACATGCACATATATATTTATGTATATTTGTGTTTGGGCTTCTTATCCACAATCTTGCATGATCTCTTTGTCTATCAGAAATTCTCAGATGAGAGTTCACCATCATGGTTGTTTAATAACTATTCTTCCTCAATCCCTTGCCTCACAATGGAATAAGCTTGATTATTTTTAAATCATTGCTGCAAATATATTTTCTTCTATATCTCCTGTTGAAATTGACAAGATTAGTGTATCAGAGTATTTATTATTATATTAAAATTATCAGTTTATACCTAGGTCATCTGCAGTATATTATAAGGTCTTTAAGATTAATGCCCGTGTCTAGACCTAAATCTGTACCCCACTCCTTAGCTTTATACCTGGCACATAATAGAATCTCTATAAATACCTCTTTCACATAAACTGTGTGTATAGCTATTCTGGTTTCTCAAATAGAGTAAAGGAGGAGCACACAAAATCTGGTACCATGGTGGCACTCAATCCAAAATAGCTGGGAATCAGCTTTCAGATGGGAATGAAATCATATATTATGCTAGTGTGTAGGAGTGGTAGGTTGTAGATATAGTTCGCAAGACATGGAGAGCTGAGGGTAAGAAGAATGGAGAAACTGTTGTTCTCCAAACTGTTGTTCCAAGAACATTTCGAGGCATAGAATCTATGGGGGAAAGGCTAACACAAAAGGAAATATACAGAAACTTAATGTCTAATTTAAGATCAATGAGCTGGGTGGGTAGGTAAGGTGCAATATATTACAGCCAATCTCAAAGATCAGCATAGTTCTAGCAAAAGGATTAGGCAACAGGAGATTAGGAACCCCACTACTTTTCTTTTTCCCAGACCACAAAAAAAAAAAAAAAAGAAAGAAAAGGATGCGTCATTTTGGGTGGCAAAAGAGAGGTGAATTGTTCGGCTAAAAAGAGGAAAGCAAAGTATAGAAAACTTGGATAGATTGAAGAGTTTAGGGATTTTTTTTCTTTGTAGGGCATAGATAAAGAATTTCCCTGAAATAATTTTACCCAAGCTTTCGAATTCAGGTTTCAGATATTTAATGAAATGGCTAATCACCCACTTTATAGAAAAACAAAAGCTATGGCTCACATTTAGTAATCAGGCTGGTAGACTATGTTGCAACAAAAATTATGCAGTAGATTGCATTTATACCTGAGCTTTAAGAAAGTGCACATACATAATTGAATTTAAGGCAGTGATTAAATGGAGTATGCTGATATTTCTGCTTTAAGAAAAAATAATAGACATAATTTAAAACAATTGTTATTTAGTCAATTGTATACCTGCTCACATCCATCAAATCTCTTCCTACTCAAAGGGACAGTTATTACAATCAACAAAATGGTTCCATATCAATGCAAAAGTTATCACTATGGTGTCTTAAATATTAAACATTCAATCCTTATTGAGTGGTGAGCAGTCCCATGATGGGAAAATTAGCCATGTGGCATATTTTAAGATATACAAAGATCAGATGTATTGACCATTCATTTGACTAACTACTTGAAAATTCTATGTAGAGTAATTACTTAATCACAGAATATCTGCTTACTAAAGCAAGAGGCTATTGGGAGCAACATTAAGATGAATAATTGTGATTTTTACTGATTTTTACTAGTATTTTATTGCAGTATAATTTTTATACAGTAAAATGTCAAATCCCAAATGGCCAGCATAATGACCTTCTTCATCTATATAATTCCATGATGCTACCACTTATTGAAACATACGGAACATTTTCACCCCCTCAGAAAAAATTTGTATCTTATGCTAAACTGTGAATACCAGGAGGAAGGGGTTAAAATTCATGTCCTAAAATTTAAAGGAAGTCAGGGAGAAAACATAATTCAGTTTTACAAATATTTGATTCACATTTAATTTTCAAATATGCTTCATATATATATATATATATATATATATATGGATGATCTCCTACATATTTCAAACTTACTTTAGTATTTTCATATAATTCATTAAAGTATTTTAAAAATATATTTGTCTGATCTGGTTTCAAACAAAGAAACATTATTTGCTGAAGAAACAATTTCCTATTGTTGCTGGGAATGCCTATATTTCTTTACCAATATGCCTCACTTAAAGCTCCTCCGAAGGTATAGATAATTGCAGTTGAGAGTATACTAGTGACACCTAGTGCTTATCCACTAAAAATGTCTGCATTTAAGAGAAGATTTATTTTCTCATGGTTAGCTATGGTTAATCAAGTTCTTGTTTATGTGCAGAAAGTGACAACGATAATGTAAGTGCTATTTCATGCTGTTAAAGACTAAATTGATAACCTTCCAACATAACCTCTTAACATAATTAAAGCAAACAGATTTGACATTAACATTGTGCATTAAGAGCAAAAGCAGGGAATGAGAGGATCCTAAAATGAGAAGACATATGTTTGAATTGCATTTTTATTATTCATAAGCAGATATGAATGCCAAAATGCTGTAGCATATTAGCTTAGTCCACTCTTTAAGAACCAGTAGGTGACATAGGAGAGAGAGCTGGGATCTCTGACCACAGTGAAAAAAGACAAAACTAAGGCTCCTTGTTATTCATGAGCTGGCTGTGAGAATATTTTTTATACCTCAGATCAGACACTGAAATATAACAGAGCCCAGTAGACAAAGGCTTGCTCTACAAGGCTTGTCACTTAAATTAGGTAGACAAACCTTAGCATTTTCTCTCCATCCCAAGCCTAGGGAGAAAATCTTAGCTCTCAGTCTTAGCCTATAAAGCCCATTACCTTTGTGGAATAATGGGAATAGCACCCAAAAGCTTTCCACACCAATCAAACTAGTCCCCCATCTGCCTGTCATTTCTATTATGCCACTGTTAGAGATTCTGTCCCCTTAACCTAGCAAAACCTTGGTACAGGTTGAGCAGCCCCAATCCAAAAATCCGAAATTTCGAATGTTCCCAAATCTTAAACTTTTTGAATGCAGACAGGATGCCACAAGAAGAAAATTCCACACATGTGATGGGTTGCAGTCAAAATGCAGTCAAAACTTTGTTTCATGTACATTTTTAAAAATATTATATGTATAAGGTATATATGAAATATAAATGAATTTGTGTTTAGACTTGGGTCCCATCTACAAGGTATCTCATTATGTATAGGCACATATTCCAAAAAAAAAAAAAAAAATCCAAAATCTGAAACACTTCTGATCCCAAGAATTTCAGATAAGGTATACTCAACCTGTGTGTATAGTATTATAAGCCAAACCACGTTGGGGATGAGTTAGCAGCTAATCATTGGTCAATGGTGGTGGACCAAAAGTGACTCGGGGAAAGGGAAGGAGAATAGAGAAGGCAAAGGGAAAGAAATATGAAAGTATAATAAAACATACAAAAACCAAACAAATTAAAGCAACATGTTGCACAACTTTGCCAAAGATAAGTCATGAAACCATGTAGTTACTTTCACTCTTAGACTGACCATCATCGGCAAACACATTTTTAAGCATCAAAGATGTTTGGGGTACTAGGCTGTATATTGAAACATTTCATTCATATATGTGTATATATATATATATATACATATATATATATATATATTACTACCATAAGATATATATTTCATATATCTTTGTGCACATCAAATGCTTGATTCTAGAGGTAGAGTAATAAACAGTACAGATAAGATATCCTTTCTTATGGAGCTTACATACAAGCGTAATACACAGATAGTAACTGTAAGAGCAACTATAACAAAGACAACTTTAGACAGTGGATAAGTACTAACAAGAACAAAAGGTGAGACCATGTGAGAGACTGTGATGAGAGAAAGATAGGAAAGAAATTTTATACTGCAGTGGCCAGGGAGAACCTCCCTGAGGAGGTGATGCTGGAACTGAGAGCTGCATGACAAGGCATGTGACGACATGGGGGAAATGAGGCCCAGAGGTAGGAATAATCGTGGTTTATTTAAGGAACAGAAACGGGGCCAGTGTGGCAGGGGCTGTATGTGCACCAGCGTGGCAAGAGAGTAGTAGAAGGTCAGCTCTAAGGGAAAGGCTGCAGTGACACTTTGCAGGTTATTATTGGCTGCATTTTTGACCCTTTGAAAACTCATATGTTGAAGACCTAAACCCCAGAGTGACGGCATTTGGAGGTGGGGTTTTGGGGAGTTGATGAGATTTACATGAGGTCGTGAAGGTGGGACCCTCATGCAGGGGATTAGTGCCCTTATGAGAAGGAGAAGAGAGAGAGGCCACGTGAGCATACAGTGAGAAGTCAGACAACTACAAGCCAGAGAAGCAGACCCTGACCAGACACCAACCTACCTGGCACCTTCATCTTGATCTTCCCAGCCTCCAGAACTGTAAGAAATAAATGTCTTTTATTTATTTATGACTTATGATTATTATTTATGACATATGATTTATGATTTATTTATGACCAATCTATGACTTCAAACTCAGTATTTTGCTATATAAACTTAAACAAAGTGAGGCACAAGTGATTGCAAGAAAATTGATATCTAAGGATATGGAATCTAAGAATGGTGGGAAACCATTGGAAAATTTTTCACCAGAGAAATATATAGAAAAGAAAACACACACACACACACACACACACACACACACACACACGCTCACACACACACACACACACACTCACATTCTCA